GTAATACAGCATTGCTGATAATATTCTGAAACTTGTTTCTTTTTTCACGCACAAGAATCAAACAATAGAAAGGTCATTTTACACTTCCGATCTTCAAAAGCATTATGGGTAATGTGTTGTCATACCTTCCCCGACCACCCAGCGAGGTAACACAGACATATTTTTACAAATCACTTGGCCAAAAAAATAACTGGTATTTTTCCAAATTGAACAGAAACAGACGCTGCTATGGTCATGCATGTACTGTAGTTGGATTTATATAGCATTTTATACCTAATTCTCAAATCAATCCAGGTGTTGACTTATTTCTTACAGAAACCATAATTTGTTACTGTATATGTTTCTTAATTATATATTTTGTAGGGTTACCGTGTTTTCAATACCTGGATGGGTGAACCATCAAAGATGATTCTGCTTGGAGCAATTTTGAACACAATCAAAGAGGAAAACTTGCTTGAAAATGTGAAAGAAACTGGAAAAATTCTGAATGATGGTCTGGTTCAATTACAGGTATATGTCATAACAATCACCTCCCCATTATTTACAGTCTATTGTTCAGTATATACAAGGGTTAATGTGTGCCTCAACAACTACTGAGCTTCTGTTGTTGTTAGGACATTAGACAAAATACTACAGAATTTTATCATAGGCATTGACCCATAAATAAATAGGTCCAGATCAAATGACTTCCATCTGGATCTTTGGTTACATCATTCCTAGACAAAAAATTCCACAGCTGTTATTATCGTGCACATGTAATTTAAGCAACCCATGTTTTGCACTTGACCAATCATTAGCCTGGTTCACGTCAAAATTTATCTAGATATACCCGTCTTGAAACATAATACGATAATCCCCTAATTGCGTTCAATGCCAAGTTAGAGCCAGATAAAGAGCCAGCCAGTTTCAGGCTGTCGACGTCACTCTGTATTTTACGAACCTCTAGTACCAAGTGGTATTCGTTCAAAAAATTGTAAACTACTGTAGAGAAGGTGCGAGTTTCCACTACCTAACCTAGCCGACCAGTACAAACCAATGACAGTGTGCAGCAGCGTGTTCTATCGCAATCTAAGTAGTAGATTCTCTAGGCCCTAGCTAAATTTACCTTCGATAAAAAACGAATTATTTTAATCGCTAGCTAGCATTCTTCCATTTAACAAAATATTGTTTTAATTTTCATTAAAATGTCTGTATGCTTTATGGACCTTTCTGTCCTGTTTTGTATTTTTTAGATCGCTTAATTGTGTTGTTTACATGCACTTCGCGAAAATCTAGCTTTGTGGTGTCAAATAAGTTGCTGACTTCCACACACTTTTTTATTTCGTCATCGTAAACATGTGCGCTCATTTTAAAAACTGGTGTTGGTGGTAAACTGAATTAATAGTGTAGTGACTATTATAGCAGAAATGGAAAAGATAAAATTGTCAATAAATTAATACAACAAATCTGATTTTATTATTAAGAAAAATATATATTATCACTTTGAAAAACGTACGCAATCGGACTTTTTAACGTTATTACTTGGTCGATGATGCAAAGGGCAAAGGTCATTGGTAATATCGACTATTCGTAAAATGGACGTTTGCTGGGTTGTTACCCATAATATTACAAATAATTTCTGAAAACCAGACAAATGAGACTACTTCGATGCTGCTGTTTTGCTTGGTTTGCTGCTGTTGCTTGGTGGTTCAATACAACAAAGCTGGCTTAGATGCCTACGTTACGTAATCGTGTCCTTGTAATCCGAGCCGACTTTACCGTTAAGCAAGTTAATTTACGTTAATCTAAGTCACTTAACTATAAGTGACTTAATTCCTTTATCTAGCTATAATTGAGTGGTTCACGTCGAATTTGTCTGGTTTTTTAATTAAGCTTATTTATGCTTACAAAGTAATTTTTGATGTTTAGTGTTAACCCTTTTTGTCTTTCTCAATCAATTTTTATCTGTATTCCTTTGTGCAATATTTGATGTTACTAAAAATATAATTTGAGTAATTTTTAAGAATAATTCATAAATTAAATTAATAATTAGATTAAATAATAATAATAATTATTATTATTTATTAATTAAATTATCTCAATGCTTTTATTTTCTCTATTGATATTTATTAATATTGCCTCTTTTTCTAGTACTGTTTTATATCGTGTATATTCCAATCACTACTATTGTTTTATGATTGCAATAAAGATTTATTTGATTTGATTTGATTTGAACTTTAGTTAAGTGAATCTATATCTAGATAAAACGTGAACCAGGCTTATATCCAGATAAAGTTCGACGTGAACCAGGCTATTGTGCTACAGAAATTTTGTGTTTACTACAAAGACTGGGTTACTAAAATGCATTTTACTAACTTGTGAAGTCTGCAGTAAGAAGGATATACTCTGGACTAGTTTGATTACATAGTACATAATCCTATGTCCTAAGTTGCAGTAGTCTAGTTGGGGCTGAGGTCTGAAATTTTATGTCAACAATTTTTTTTAAATTTAGAAGCCCACTTGATTCTGCCTCTGATATTACTTACAGCTGGATATGAGGACATCATGAACACAGTACAAACAAAATCCTATTCCTCAATTTTAGTCCACTGCCTATACTTCTATTGAAATAACATTCAAATAATTAGAGCGTGAAATCTGTTTATCTTCGATACTGTTTATCCTGGGTTTTAAGGTCTGTAGCCTGGGGTAGATTATGGAGTGAATTGTGAGTATGAACATGGATGAATTAGTTTTCTCCATGGTATGGATAAAGACAGTTTATTCAATTTCAAGCCCCTGGCTGATACATTAAGTTGGTAAAGCAACACTGAAATCAATGCATACTAATATTTTTCTTTGTGTTAATTTGTGTGCACAGGTAAGTTTAGGCTTAAAGATAATTGTAGCTGTAATAGTGCAGTGTCCGAAATTATTACAGTTCAATTTGGAAAACATTCCCGGGTGTTAATAGCAATACTGCATGTTGTTTCATGTTTAATTAGTATACAACGGTGGCAGATGCGGGGGGTGGGTGGGGTGCCGGCCTGTTTGATTATAATCAAATTTCAGGCCATCTGATAATAATAATAATAATAACTTTATTGTTTCAACAGAGGCATAATCGCTAGAGATGTGCAACAATAATTCACAATATAAGAGTAATAATAACATATATACATTTGTCTTGCTATAGACATTTCTTACTAATATACATTTTTTATTTAACTAATAATGAAAAGAAATTATACTACGCATCCCAAAAAAATTGAATTGCACGCCACCACGCTCGACACCATTCACGCACTCGACGGTGCGCATTCCATCTCCCGGAGAATGCATTACACTTTATCTGAATCTAGATGTGATAATCATAAATTATATTCCCTGAACCCTTTATGTGAAAGTCCCTCTGTGGGCCCGACTGTACAGTGTTCAGGGGAGTTATTTATGGTTATCATATCATTTTAAAAAAATGTCCTTGTTTTTATTTGTAGGAAGCCTATCCTCATATTTTCAGCAAAGCCCGAGGTCATGGGACGTTTCTTGCAATTGACTGCACGGACGCTAATACAGCAACTCAAATATCCGCACTCATGAAAACCCAAGGTAAACAAACCTCAAAAGATTTATCGAAGATGAGAGTAGCTCTGTTGATTATAGTCCACTCACTCCATTTGCCAGCCTAGCCTGAGCTCATTCCTTCATGGTGAACGCAAACAAACGAAACACAACCTCAGATAACCTAGCCAGTGACGCCTCTTAACAAAAATATACACTCAAGTTCACCTTATTCGGCACCCACATCCACTGGATTTCTATCTGTAAAAATATGGTGCCATATATTAATTTTTCTATTATTTTTATTTGTAGGTGTGAATGTCGGCTTGTGCGGAGCAAAATCTCTGCGATTCCGTCCTGCTCTTACATTTAAACCGTTCCATGCTGACATCGTTCTGGATGCTTTCGATAAAGTCGCCAAGAAACTGTGAAGAAAATTATGAAAATACCATCTTTTTACACATAGGGTGGGGGATGAGTGATTAATATTGTTGCACCAAATTGTAACATAAGTAATAAAATTGGAAGCCAAAAGCATAAAGCTATGCAACAATGAATAAAAAGTAGCAACAAATAATCAGTGGCATATGGAAGGGTGTTGCGGTGAGCGCCCCACCCCCAAAATCATGCTCAAGTAGTAAAAAATCACCTAATTTTGCGAGCTGGGGCCCCTCACTTTCATTGATCCCCTCCCTCATTTTAAGTCTCATACAGTACATACGTCACTGACAATACTACTAATAATGGAAATGAAGCCATGCCTACACCAATAGGGGATCAGTAAGGTTGAATAGGTCTTCTGTACTTTCCCTAACCAAAATTGCTTTACAAATTTAATGAGAATTTTTTGGAATTGAAGTGTAAATATAAATTATTGCAGTATTGATAATTACCAATAAAATTTTAAAAAAAACTGCATGTGCTTTTAAAGCAGAATAATATAAATTTGAAATTAATGCGGCCTCAGAGAATTGATGGTATGTGCCTGGCATTTCATTAGAGGTTAAGATAGCCTCTATGATGGGGAACACTTTCCTATACTACAGTTTATCAATTATATTTATGGTGCCTACAAGTAAAGTGCCATGAGTCCCAAGTATCCTGGAAATTGAGATTGCCTCCACCAAGCACCTCCAGGAAAATAGGCTTGTTTTTTTCTATTTTTATTATTCAGTGCAGATGGACATCACTGTGTGCAGCAAAATAAAAAAAATGTGAAAGCTTATTTAACTAGATCTTCCCAAATTGACTATTCAAACTTGGGACCCCTGAAAGTGTCTTACAATTACAAAATATCTAAACAATATCAATAACAATATCTATACTAATTAAGGAGTTGACATGCAAGAACAAAGTATAATGTATATGTTAGATATATTGATAGGAGAAAATAAACATATGTTTATCTTGTACAGTAAATATTGTTAAGAATAAACAAGGGTGTAGGTTGTTTTTGGTCTGTGTGTGTGTGTGTGAAAATTGAGAATGTGGAGCTAAATTCCTATTCCAATGAATTTTTTTGTTTTCATAACCAATGGTGCAGATGTTTTAAAAGGTGGTGGCAGTCTGAGGCCACACCTTCCTCAGCCCTGGTTGGGACTGAGACTTGAAAATTTTTTAGGAAATAGTACCTCTAGGTGGCCGGATATCATGCTCTCTAGTAAAATTTGTCATCATGTACAGTGCTCTTTTGTTAAAACCTGGGTCATTTATGCAGTTTATTTCAACAATTTTCAGGCATCTTCTTGACTCATGAAATTACATTATGGTCAAAAAGTGGGGGACGTGTCCTCGTCCCCATGATCTGTGCCCATGTTCATAACCCAGTTAACAAAACTAGTTTGCCATCATTGGAGAACATCTGCACCCCAGCCTACGCCCATGCCCATTGTATATTGTCACTCTATATGATGGAATTGCGTATTCTAGCCTGCTGCAATTTTCTTATATTTTAATTAGGATTTGAATAATTGATTCATTGTATTGCTAGATTTATCAAACTTGGTTTGCATCAAAAAAATATCAGTATAAATCTTAGTATGCTGTAAATAGTTCTTCAATATATAGACTAAAGTTAATAATTTTAACATTTTTTACAGTATACTAATTCAACTAAAGACTAGATGAAATTCTTTCAAGTATAAATCTTACCTCATAGTACTGACAGCAAACATAACAGATTACATTCGGGAGTGCACGACAGGACAAATATACAATATTGTACTGGCAATTGAACATGCTCAAAAACAAGATTGAAAGATCCAGGCCAGATATTTTGGACAGTACATACGTACATGTGCTTTTAGAGCTTTTGTGCAAATAGTGCTTTTAGAGCTTTTGTGCAAATGGTGCTTTTACAGTAATGACAAAGCAGTAAAAATCTACACACCAAATTAGTAGTCTTCAAACCGTTCGATGAACAATAAATATAACATTGTGCATTCAACAGAACTGTGACTCACAATCTTAATTTTTTTGTTTTCTTGACCTATGACCTTGTTTGACATTGTATATCAGTATTACATGACATTATTTTATATTAAAATTCTTATGAATGGTCAGTAAATACATACATGTTTATGGTGTCTGTTTATTGGCTTAGAAGTGTGTTTCATTTCACCATGCACATACATACAGCAATTTAACTGCCATAATCAAATCGACCTTTCCAGTGCATCCGACCAATTAGAACAAGTTAGGGTCCGGGAATATGCACATGTCCCACAAAAATGCAAGACTATGTTTACGTGGGATGTGGGTTTCTCAAGTGGATGATCATTATCCTCTCTACATTCTTTTAAAGGATACAGTCTATGCTTGTCCTACCAAAGTACTTATTGGATCTGATAGCAGAATACCACCCAAAACTCCGCATCGAAGAACCTCCTTGTGGGACAGACACTTACTGAACCACTTACAGTACGTGATCCTTGAAATTATGGAACCGCTTACCTGACTCAATAAAGATGTCAGTTCTGTTTAATTATTTAAGTCCCGTTTGAAAACATTTCTAAACAATTTCAAGTTTCACCCGAAACCTTTATTTGGAAATACTGGGATGCTGTCCAGCGGGGATAGTTTTACCTCCATTTTAAGGTTTTGGTTTTAAGTATTACTTTCTTAGGTCCGTTAAGCGCATAGAGGTTCCAACAATATGTACTCTATAAGTTGACCATTTATTATTTCCTTTGAAATCTTTAGGTCACCACAGCCTGTAGAATACCATCCACAAAAATTGCATTATTTTCAATGCAACATCAACGTCTGGTAGCATTGCTGTTTTAGTCTCTGCCCATCCTCCCTGCATTTCCTTCGAGGATACCATCCACCACAACAATTGCATTATTTTGCATGCAACATCTATGTCTGGTAGCATTGCTGTCCTAGTCTCTGCTCTCTGCTTGTCCTCCCTGCATTCTATTCAAGGATGCCATCAACAACAATTGCAATATTTTCAATGCTTGCTGCTCCATCATTAGATTTCATCCCTCACTTGAATGGTCATGCACTAATTCCTTGAATAACAAATAACTACATAATAGTGATGTAATGATAATTAACAACAAGAACAGCTTAGTGTTACCCAAGCCCATTACAAAATACATTGTATTTTTAATGATTCATAATTCTTGATTGATAGTAATGAATAAGAATTAGTAAATGATAACAGCAACTGAACATATTAATAATAAATATATATAAATATGTGTGTTTGCATCAGGAAAATATCAAAGAAGTGATGTTTTGAGAAAAAAAATTGCAAGTAATTCGAGTAAGTGATCCCATCCAAATCTTCTTGCAAATTTGTTTGCAACTATTTGGGAACATACTGAGTATTCAGTACAATAGCACGTCAGGCAGGGCAAAACATCCCTCCTATAATAAATATATAATAATCAATAATAACAACAACCTTTTGCATATTGTAATCTAACAGTTCTCCGGCCTTGGCTGCCAGTTTACAGCTCTCAACATCAGTATCTTTACACAAGATATCTATAAAATACCAGAAAATAAAATCACCTTAAAAACTCACAAAACTAGTGTTCATGGCAAAGTAAATATATTGGTCATTCACATAAAAAAGACTTTAAAGTACTACCAAGATACGGTATAGAGTACAAATAAAAAATATAATTCTGCTTTCAAAGTACCCTGAAGCCAATATCTGCATTCCATTAGTTCATCCTGCATCTCTGAAACAAGGATGAAGGATGGCACTGTCAGTAGCACCATGGAAAGTGAGAAGAGCAATCCACGGCGCACAAATGGTTCCGTGTGGTACCTTAGCACCCATATTAGCTCCAACATACTCTTGGCCATCTGTCTTAGTACCTGAAATTAATACAATTCAGATATTTTATTATTAGTACAGTACATCATTATTTCTTCTTTCCTATGGTTCTGGTGGTGGAACAAGCTTCCTCAGACAAAAACAATTGGCTCATGTGTACTTTACAGAGCCCAGAGATAAGTAGGGGGTTACCCCAGTGTACTGGGCCATACAGCCTCTCTTGTGGACAGACGAGAGTAGCTGGCAACAGTTCATTGGGAACAGACGGATTTATATAACGTAAATAAACAAGGTCCCTATGCAGTCAACAGGTGTAAGAAGACAACAAAAATATGGAATAATAAATAAGCAAGAAAAAACACCAAGGTAGCACACAAACCGAAGTATGGGGTTACACCGTCACTGCCAATTAGATTCTACTGTAGAATCTAGTCCATGCCGCTTTGAGGCTTAAGTATACAGCACACCTAATTATATTGCACTATTGATAATACTTACAGGTGCATTCTCGGCCGACGCTACAATGATGCCGAGTGTGAAGAGCAGACGACCCAGCAAAAGAAAGTCATCCCCAAGCATGTCCATTGTATTCATAGAGCTAGAGAATATCAGTCAAAATGTGTTGTTGAATAATAATAATGATGTTACATTTATATAGTGCATAATGTTGCAGCTTCTATGTGCTTTACAAAAACAGAAAAGAGAGAAAAAATAATGGAATGCGAATAACAATAAATAACCTAAAGCTAACGTTTAATGTTGAACATGTAAAGGCCTGGCAAGTTTTATTTGACAAAAACATGACATGCCTATATTTGGTCATGATGACATCACAACATGACTATATATATACACATCATGACTATATATGGGCATACAACAGTATTTGTCAAACAGAATTTGATAGTCTGGACAGGCCATTAGAGGTAGCTTAAGTGGGCATTGATGATTCAAAATTAATTGCATAATGAAACTTCAAAGGTATGAAGTATCACTTGTATTCCTGCTGTTGGGATACAACTTGCAAAACCCAATCTATTCCATCAATTTATACTGAATACTGATTGAACAATAGTTCAATGTCACAGTTAATATGTCATGTCAAGTGAATGGTCACAACATGTGCCTTAAGCCCTGTCAAGCCACCTGGTTCCAGCCACCTGGTTCCAGCCACCTGGTTCCAGTCACCTGGTTCCAGTCACCTGGTTCCAGTCACCTGGTTCCAGTCACCTGGTATTTTCTAGCCCAACATGAGATCATGCAATGTTGGTTCATACACAAAAATGCCAATGCTGCAGAAAACTAAGCTACTGACAAGTTCTAGCAGCAGAGGCAGCTAAATATATAATGATGCTATATCATGGACCTATTATTAAGAACTTTAAAGTCTCATTCCCGGCAAAATTTCACTAAAAACTGACTTTTTTTAGAAAATATGCATTTGCATT